AACCCACAACCTAGGTATGTTCCCTGACTGGGAAATGAAGCTGCAACTTTTGGTGCACAGGATGACACTCCAACTAACTGAATCACCTGGCCAGGGCTAACAGTGATTTCTGCAGAGGTGGTGGTGGAGTTGAGTTGGAAGAAGAATAAGGGAAACTTCAGAGATGAAAAAAATCTTCTATTCCCAGAACTGAGTGCTCATTACATGGATAATGAATATAAAAATTCATTAAACTGTTCACTTAAGGTCAATGCACTTTACACACTTTACACATGCTAGACCTCAAAATAAAAGAAAATAAGGGTGATTCAGCTTTAGTTGAAGTGCTTGGAACCTGAGGAAATTAATCATCTAAACCCTGCACTAATTTGCTGCATTTCTTGGTTCTAATCTTTTTGTGTATTACCTCCAAATCTTAAGGCAAATCATCCAGTTTTGCAAATCCCTGTGGTGTATGTACTTCTTACCGCTCAGCTAGGAGTTGGTTGATGGTCAGATAGGCCCACAATTTCCTGGTGAAATCAGGATCTGCATGCTTGTCTTTTGATAGAAAATCCTCCAACTCATCCATTTGGGCCAGGGTCTCCAAGACTAACTCTGTGCTGGCCTGGACAATGCAAGGTTCAGTTCAAAGACACCAGGGGAGCAGAATTATAGTTAATCAATTCACAGTGCTTCATACCTACCTACTGTGAGTGAACCAGGGTACTCTACAACTCTATGGGAAATGTAAAATAATTAAAAAGGATACAAAAGGAGGAAGTTAAGTACGTACTTCTGGAGTTTCCAATTGGTCTGGGGTGAAAAAGGTAAGAATTCACACAATAGTTGGGAAGATGGCATAGGTAATCTCATGTCTTTCCTTTCACTATTGCTTTCATTCTATATACATGGTTCTTGGGATGCAGTGTTAGCCTATTAATACACTAGATGGATTGTATCCAGGGACCAGTTAGTATTTTTAGAATAAGCAGATAAGCTGAAGTACCGAAGTTGCCGTGATAATGCTCTGTAATTGCTCTGATTTTGCAGGGTCAAATTTTCCTGCCACCACAATCTCTGAGCCTCCGAAATAGTTATGGAAACTGTTTTGAGTGACATCCGTGACTGACGTATGGGGATAGTTGAACTGAACATTCCGGAGCATTGGAGTAGAGACCTGGTTGTAGAATTTCTATAATTCATAAAAAAA